AGCCTGCTGTGGTGAGTCATAGGCTTCTCCATCAGGGACTATGTCTAGATCGCATGACACTATGTCAGTTCCAAAAAAATCCACATAGTAAATGCCTGTGCCAGCAGCAATCAATCATAGGCATAACTTAGCAGAGAACTTGTGTAAAACTTGGTAATTGGCTTCTTTTTAATAATAGCTATCAGACCAGTTTACCGAGAGCATGTCTCTGAACTGTTTGTTGTGGGCAGTGAAAGGAGGGGATGCACTGTCACTGAGCAGACATGCTGGCAGTGTGAAGGGGGAGTGGGTCAAGAGTGAAGACTCTTCTCATCTAATCCAATGGGAGTTCCAGTCAGCTAATGCCCACCATGAGGCTTGTATTCATTTTCTTTGCTACACAGCAAATTGTCACAATTTCAGGGGTTTATGACAACGGTTGTTACCACGATTTCCATGGGTCACGCACAGCCAGCTTAGTGGCCTTTGCTTTGGGTGTCAGCCAGCAGCAGTGAGCTGACACATTCCGCAAGGACTGGAAAGAGGCCACACTAGGGTCAGATGAGGGCCCAGTAGAGTTCACATCTTCCCTGAGCTCTCTACACTGTCTACCTGGTCAGCATCGTTAGGGCCTGTCATTGTCTTACCTGGAATTTCTGAATTTTTCCTCACATGGTGCTGTTGCTAGAGGCACATGTGGTTACACTGGACCTATTTGGACACTTAGGTCAACCCTCCTGTTTAGGGTCCTAGGTCTGCTATAGGAAACCAACAGGAGCTAGTAATATCATAGGGACCAGGGTACATCTCTGCACTGAGGACACAGACTTGGAAACGGAGGGCCCAGTGTGGTGCTTGTAGGGTGTGGGGAGGCCCCTCTTGTGGCCTTCATGGTCCTTCCAGGGTGACGTTCCTGCCATTTCTCCCTGTGCAGTGAACTCAGGCAGCCTCTGGGAGACTCCGGGTGCCATGCTTCAGGGAAAGGAGGTAAGCAGATAACACCCGTGCTGACGTGTGCCCCCTTCCTTTTGCCCCTTTCCAGAGCACAGAAGACCTGCAAGAAGTCCAGAGCGGTGATTACCAACGAGAACCTGTGCCCACCCTCTTTGGACAAAGACAGTGGCTCAGAGGAAGAGGTAGGTGGGGTGGGCTCCACGGAGTGCTGTGGCTCCCAGTGGCTGTTCAGGCTGGGTTTGTCTTTGTGGGCACCTAGGGATGCTGTACACAGAGGAACAAAGGGTCTTAGGGATCAAAGGTTCTCTGAACCTAGGGCTCATGGGGTGGGAGAGGGAGCAGGCTGCGAAGCCAATCCACATGAACGGGGTGGGGGTAGTGGTGTATACAGGTGACTTTGAAATAACCTAGTGGACGAATAGTTACATGATTTTACAAAACAGAGAAAATGTTAGCAATGATAGAATCCAGCTGCTGGGTTTATGGGTGTTTTCTGTACCATCCTTTTTGACTTTTCTGGATGTTGAAAGTTTTTCATAATCAAATGTTGGGGAATAACTAAAGAAAAACACATGTGGCAAAGATTATGCTTATGTGTTTGTGCAAGTGTGGTTATGTGTGTGTGGGGTTTGTGTGTTTGGGGTGCGTGTGTATGTGTGTGTTATAAGTAGAATTAGAAAGAGTTGACAGCCACCTTTAGAGATATCAGAAGCAGTCTTTTATTCTGATTGTACCTCAGAAGATTTAGAGACACAATTGATGGAAATTCTGGCATGGCCCCCCAGCTTGCTCCATCCCAAACTCAGCCAAAATTTGCCCCTCATTGCAGTCCACAAGAAGGAGGCCATGGGTTTTCCTGCTGCTTCAATGACCAGGTGTCCCCATTACCCCTGATGTCAGACCTGACTGTGTGGCTGCCTCTGTGCCAGACACTTGTCACTGATCCTCATGTTTAATCTTGCTAAGGATCTTCCCAGACATGGCTCAGTTTTTCTCTCTTAGTGACCGGGACAGTGAGGCCAAGCCCACCTTCTAAGTATGGGAGGATATTGAAGGCCCCAAGGGCTGCAGGTTTTATCCTGCCGACTCCAGCAGGACAAGAGTCTCCAATGCATTCATGAACATGAAATCCTAAATATTCACAGATTACTTTGAAGTACAAGAATAGTAACATTATGGATTTGAGTCTTTTAAACATTTCTATACTTTATTATGTCCTAAGATTGAAATAAGCTTTCTTATTTAGAAAGTTTATCAACACAATTACCAAAACTGATTGAAGCACAAATAGAAAATCCAAACAGACATATAATAAGTAAAGAAAGTGAGCCAATAAGAAAACCCCAGGATCTGATGGCTTCACTGGTAAATTATACCAAGTAATTGAAGGGTGGGGGAGAGAACCAATTACGTAACAAACTCTTCACAAAACAGAGAAGGAAGTCACATCTCTCAACTAATTCTAGTAGGTCAGTATTAACCTGATGCCAAAGCCAAACAATGTTATTCAAAGAGAAGAGTGCCTTGAGCCATGAACATTTAACACAGAGCTGGATATCAGGAATAAAACATTAACAAACCACGTGTAGCCATATTATAGAGAAAAGATCATACCACATGATCTTGTTCCAGGGATTGTTCCAGGAATGGAAAGTTGGTTTAATATTTGAAAATCCATTAATTCAACACAAAATATTAATAAAATAAAGAATAGTAAACACAGAATCATTTGCATGATACAGAAAAATAACACAAACATTAATGATTTAAAAAAAATCATAACCTAGGCTCATCGCCTGTGGTTTAAGCAGCTAAGGTGCCAGCCACATACACCTGAGCTGGAGAGTTCAAATCCAGCCCAGGTCCGCCAAGCAACAGTGACGGCTGCAAACAAAACAAACAATCCAAATAGCTGAGAGTTGTGGCCAGTGCCTATGATCCCAGCTACTAAGGAGGCGGAGGCAGGAGAATCACTTAAGCCCAGGAGTTGGAGTTTGCTGTGAGTTGTGATGCCATGGCACTCTACCCTGGGTAACAGCTTGAGGCTCTGTCTCAAAAAGAAAAAATCATAACCTAGGCTCAGTGCCTATAGCTGAAGCAGCTAGGGTGCCAGCCACATACACCTGAGCTGGTGGGTTCGAATCCAGCCCTGGCCCAGCAAATAAAGACAGGTACAACCAAAAATTAGCCAGGTATTGTTGCGAGTGCCTGTAGTCCCAACTACTTGGGTGGCTGAGGCAAGAGAATCCCTTAAGCCCAAGAGTTGGAGGTTGTTGTGAGCTGTGAAAGCACAGCACTCTACCCAGGGTGACAGCTTGACACTCTGTCTTTAGAAAAAAAAAAACACAGAAACATCTTCAATATGAAAACCCAGAGCACAGCCGGACTCGGACACCAATAAGCATCCCCTGAAGTTGAGACCTCCCCCCCAGGCACGGGTGTGCCAGAAGTAACCTCTTCCCCACACCCAAAGCAATCAGGAGAATCACGTAGCTGGAATTTTAGAGGTGGAAGGAAGAAAGAAACTCACACTGAGTGTGGAGGGAGTGTCAGCTACCCTCACTCTAGCCGGGTGGATGACCAGACCATCTGCAGCTGTGTGAGTCTAGACTGGTCATTCCCGCGTGCCAGGTGGAATGTCATCTGAGAAACTGACTTTCATCCTAGGCCTCAAAGATGTCTCATGAATAAATCTATGAAGAAAATGAGCAGCTCCCAAGGAAAACTGACTAAGTACATGTGGAAACAAAGCTGATGTGTGACAGCCTATGGCAGCCGTAGTGGAGACAGAGGCCTCAGGTACTAGATTTCACAGACCAAGACATAAATGTTCATAACTGTGCTACTGTGCTTATTTTGTTTAAAGGAATAAAAGACAAGGTTAAAAAATATCTGAAGAGAATAGAAAACTATTTTTAAAATACCAAGCAGATTTGGAAAAGCACCAAACAAAACTTACAGAAATGAGAACTAGGCCTAAAATTTTTTTAAAAATTTGATTGATTTAACAATAGATTTGGCACAACTGAAAAGTGAAGTACTAAACTAGAACCAAGAGCTGAAGAAATTACTTAAATAGGTCCAGAGAGATAAGAAATGCAAACTATAAAGGAAAGTGAATGAAAGTACAGTCTGAAATCTATTGTAGCAGGAAACTGATGCAGAGAGAAGATTTCTTTTGGGCACCAGTTGGTTAGAGAAAGCGGCTTTATTCTTCTGGCCAGGGGGTACTCGGGAGACTAGTGTCTCAAAAACCGAGGGCCACCCCCCCACCCCACCCCCCTGCCCGCCTGAATCTCCTGCCTCTCTTTATCCACTTTTCAGGGCTAGAGTGCATGTGAGGGTCATAAAACTGAGTGAGGGATGACATCCGAAGGTCCCGGCACTCAAGGGGAAGGTCAGGTTTGCCTGAGCCCTTGAAACCAGTCAGGTTACCTGCCCTCAAAGGCAACGGAGGCTTAAGGAAGTTACAAGGTCACAGTCTAGGCCCAACATATGTCAAGTGAGGGGCATACAGATAGCAAAGACCTGTGGCCTGGCTAATACAGGGTGACTAGGATAGATTTTTAGCTCTGGTTTTCACTCTCATGCCTCAGTATGACATGCTTTTGTTGTTTGTTTTTGGAGACAAAGTCTCACTCCATCACCCAGGGTAGAGTGCCCTGGCGTCATCATAGCTCACAGCAACCTCTGTCTCTTGGGCTCAAGTGATCCTCCTGCCTCAGCTTCCCAAGTAGCTGGGATTACAGGCACCCCAAACAACCCCCAGCTGGATTTCCTATTTTTAGTAGAGAGGAGGTCTCACTGTTGCTCAGGCTGCTCTGCAACTCCTAAGCTCAAGGGATCCACCTTCCTTGTCCTCCCAGAATACCAGGCTTCTAAGGGTGAGCTAAGGCACCCAGCCTCTATGATAAGTTTAATTAACAGAGTCCCAAAAAGAGAGAAGAGAAAATTGGGAAAAGGTATTATTTAAGGGAATGATGCCTGAGAATTTGCCAACGCTGTCAGAAGTCACCAACTCTAAGAAGGGCAAATAAAATTGTAGACATAATAAAATGAAAGTGACAGTGCTGTCTTTGGCAGCACATACACTAAAATTGGGACAATACAGAGAAGATTAGCATGGCTCCTGTGCAAGGATGGCATGCAAATTCACAAAGCGTTCCATATTTTTAAACAACAATGAGAACTACAACAAGAAAAATAGCTGGGCATCGTGGTGGGTCCTTGTAGTCCCAGATACTCGGGAGGCTAAGGCAGGAGAATTGCTTGAGCCCAAGAGACTGAGATGGAGGTTGCTGTGAGCTGTGATCTGTGGCACTCTACTGAGGATAACAGCTTGATACTCTGTCTCAAAAAATAATAAATAAAATAAGGCACCAGCCACATACACCTAAGGTGACAGGTTCGAATCCAGCCCAGGCCTGCCAAATAACAATGACTGCTGCAACCAAAAAATAGCCAGGTACTGTGGTGGGCGCCTGTGTTCCCAGCTACTTGGGAGGGTGAGGCAGGAGACTTGCTTGAGCCCAGGAGTTGGAGGTTGCTGTGAGCTGTGATGCCAACGCACACTACCCAGGGGGACAGCTTGAGGCTCTGTTTCAAAAAAATAATAAAAAAAATTAAAATAATATAAAAGAAATGTTAAAAATATAATAATGATAAAAAAATTAAAATGTCAAATGCCTGAGACAAAATATTTTTTAAAATATTCAGTGATAAAAAGATTGTCTCTCGAAAAGTTATTCATGAACTAGCTTTGCACTGATGGAAGCCAGAACAAAGTTGAACCAGACCTTCTGCGTGCTGGCGGGCAGGAAGACAATCTAGGGCTCTATACCTAGCTAATGCATCTTGTAGGAAGAAGGATGTAACCATCATTCCTACATATCAAAAAGAAATGCTAGAAAATGGAAAATATACCATTTACAATAGCATTTTTACATGTGAGGTACCCATAAATAAACCCAACAAAAGATACGCAAGACTTTTGTGGAGAAAATTATAAAGTTTAAAGAGAGACATTTTAGAAACACCGAAACAAATGGAGAGATTTTTTAATATTCAAGGATTAGAAGAATTATAGGAAAGGGATCACTTTCCCCTAACAGTTAATGTGACCTCATTCAAAATTCCAACAGGTTTTTTGTGGGTGCGTGTGTATTCGTGTGGTGTCTATGTGTATGCAAACTTGAAAAGTTGATTCTAAAATGAATAGAATTTCAGAAGGACAAGAATAAGCAACACACATTACCAGAAGGGTAATGTAGGAAGACTTGCCTTACTAGCAATCAACACTTTCCACGACACTTTGTTAGTAAACACAGTGTGTAAGAATATATAAATAAACTTAGACATCAGTGAGATGAATTAGAGATGGCAGGAGAAAGCCCATAAGGAGAACATAAGGAGACTTACTTTTTGGCAGGGTGTGATTGAATAGTAGGGATGGACAGATTGAAAATGCAGCCAGTACCATTTGGTGCATTGGGGAAAACATGAATGAAATGGGACCTCTTCCTCATACTGGTCTCCAGAACCAATTCCACATGGAATAAAGACATAATAAATAAATGTAAGGGGGAAACTATAAAAGCTCCTGGAAGGTAATACTTGATAATACCATTTTCTGCTCAGACCATGTAAGGATTTCTTGAGAGTACTTTTAAAGGCAGATGGCCATAAAAGATGCCATGAAAAAGTATAAAGTTACACTACAACATAATTAGAAAAATATTTCCAACACATAACCAACAACAGACTGAATTATATATAAGAATTATGATTGGGCTCAACCTTTAGCTTAGCGGCAAGGGTACCAGCCACATACACCAGAGCTGGGTTCAAATCCAGCCTGGGCATGCCAAACGATAATGACAACTACAACCAAAAAATAGCCAGGCATTGTAGCGGGCACTTGTAGTCCCAGCTACTTGGAAGGCTGAGGCAAGAGAATCGTTTAAGCCCAACAGTTGGATATTGCTGTGAGCTGTGATGCCATAGCACTCTACCAAAGATGACAAAGTGAGACTGTCTCAACAACAACAACAACAGAAAAGAATTATGACTCAAGAAAAAAAAGAGAAAAATAGTTAAATGATTGAATGGGCACTTCATAAAAGAGAGAACACCAAAGGCTTAACTGTGTTAGTGATGGAGAAATGCCCCTGAAGGCATGCCTGATGGCACCCCACACTGGTACACGCAGGAGTGCAGATGGGACAGTGCCTGGGCCTGGCGAGGCCACATGCTCTGAGGGAGACTTGACTCAGCCTTTCTGGAGACATGTTGGCCTTGCACAGCTGCAGCAGCCCGGAAAGGGCAGAGGATCCATCCTAGGCATAGACTTAAGAGAGATTCTTGCCGGCTCATGCCAGGAGATGTGAGCATTATTCACGATAGCTCCAAAGCAGGACAGAGGAAATGCCCATCACAAAGGACCAGGGAAGAAACTGGGACATTCACACAACGCAACACGTCATGCAAAAGTGAGTGAAGCACAGACCAGGGTGTTATGACTCATGCCACACACAGAGCTAAAGAAGTGGGAGAGTGCACCCTCTGCCTCGTGTATGGAGCTCACGAACAGGCACACAAGAATGGCCTTCTGTGGAGATGTGAGCCCTGCGTCCAAAGTGAACCAGACATCTGTGAGAAAGGGAGGGCTGCTGCTTACAGGTCCGTGTTGAGGCTATGGAGGTGGGGCATAAGCTTATGGGCTTCTACTCTTTTGTTATTTTTAAAATGTACCTGAGTGTTTCACCCACTCTTCTGCTCATAGGACTTATTTCACAAGAAGAGCAGGAGTAGCCTTTGCGGTGACAGACTCAGCCTGCCTTCCTAACAGAATGGGTGGAGGGGAGGGCAGCGAGGGGAAGGTCTGCATTGGACCTAGTGGAGGGTTCCAAAAGACAGCCCCACCTCTCCAGGCAGGAGGGTGGCACTGCCCTGCCAGCCAGTGACCTTATTCTGTTCTGCAGGTGCAGCAGGAGGCACAATGCTCAAAATTAGGTCCTTTGGCCTGGAGACTCTCCCATCTAGGAAGATTCCACCTGTGAAGTTGGCCAAAAACACCCTAACACAGTATGGGTAACACCTTAACCCTAACACCCAATGCAAGGGCTGTCCCCTGGGAGGCCTGGAATTTCCCAGAGGAGCTGCCACCAGTAGTCACGAGGCAGCTGCCAAGTACCTGGCCATGCTGTCCCTCAGCCTGGAGACTCTCCCATCTAGGAAGATTCCACCTGTAAAGTTGGCCAAAAACACCCTAACACAGTACGGTAAACACCCTAACCCTAACACCCAACACAAGGGCCTGTCCCATAGGGGCTTGGAATTTCCCAGAGGAGCTACCACCTGTAGCTACCGAGGCAGCTGCCAACTACTTGGGCGTGCTGTCCAGCCAAATGGCCACAACACTCCTGACAGCTCCTCCCATCTGGCTCCCTACCCTGAGTGCTCAGATCAGGGCCTCGCAAAAGCCCCCAGGCGACACGCAGGGAAGAACAAATGTGTCTCACAGGAAATGCAGGTGTGTTCAACCCCAGCTCTCTGCAAGCATTTTCAGTAAAGAGCAAATACACAACCGGTTCCAAATAATTTACTTCTCTACGTAAAACAACTGTTGATTGCCTATTCTGGACAATGTGCTGGGGCAGCTGCCAGGTAGCAGTGTTATGCCCAGGAGCTCTCCCAAAGACCAGACCACCAGACAAGTTGAAGTAAAGAGGAGCCCTTTTATTGAAGAGCCAGGCAGCAACTGCCCTGGTGTCTCAACGTGGGGTTTCTGAGTGCAGCCCCGAGTTGTCTAAGGCTCTGGTTTATATAAGGCAAAATATTTCTGGGGGGCAGATGAATATAGTCATAGAAGCGAAAAACAGCAGATGGGGGAAATCACGAGGGGTGAAAACAAGTAGGGGAGATCCCGAGGGGAAGGCAGTTTAATTTACACAACATTATGATCACGAGCACTTAGTAATTTTTACAAAACAAATACAATCTACAATGTTCTTAGGTAATGTAGGGAGACGGACTCCCAGGTGAGGGCCATAAACAACATGGTCATAAAAAGCTATAATCATAGGGCCTACATGGTCAGTAACTTACATTACTAACAATTTTAGCTAAAATTGGCATTTATAGTTACACTGGGAGGGAAAACAAGAGGAACTAGTTTTGAAGGTAAAAAGGAGTAAATAGTAAAATAGAGTTAAGCTTGTTCTGTTAACATTTCCATTTTATATACACATTGTATGCAGATCACTTTACATAATCACGAAGGTTGTTGGTCACAAGGGTTAGTGACTTTCTAAACAATATTAATTTTAACAGTCTAACCAGATACACTTAAAATACTATGCAATGGGTGGGGAGGCAAGTGGAACCTGTTGTTGTCGTTTTGTTTGTGTGTTTTAAGCAATAAAATGTAGCAAAACAACAGAATGGAATCAGGTCTATTTTGCCTTCCTACTGATTCTCTGCAAAGAGAATTATATCAAAATGGAGATAGGCCTGCTTCTCTTTCACCTTAATAGCAGGCATGCCCTGCTTCCCAATCACACACACAGCCTGTACTGGCATGGAGGGAAGTGCTGCTTACTTCCCCTTGCTCTACCAAGACTTCTGCCCACTTTCTGCTCAGAGGTGTTAAAAAGAAACAAACAAAACCCACGTCTGACAAATTGCCCTACAAAGTCCCTGACACCAGCGTAGCGGACTGGGGGCACAAAGCCCTGGACATGGCGGAGAACTAGATACTAGGCCTAAAGTGCATGTGGGAGACATACTGAGCCTCCAAGCCTGTGAGGGGCACCGGCATTGCCGGCTGCCTGCACATGACTGCAGAGATCACCATCCTCATTGAGACCCTTATCACCCTGGATGCTGAGGTGCAGCGTCAAGCTGCAATGTCTTCTCTACCCGGGACCATGCAGCAGCTGCCAGTGCCAAGGATGGCCTTCCAATGTACACCTGAAAGGGTGAGACAGATGAGGAGTACCTGAGGTGCATGAAGCAGACACTGTACTTCGAGGACAGGCCTCTCAAAATGATTTTGGACAATGGTGGTTACCTTACCAACCTCATCCACACCAAGTACTCACAGCTCCTGTCAGGCACTTGTGGCATCTCTGAGGAGACTACAACTGTGGTCCACAGCCTAAACAAGATGATGGC